GCTTTTCTCATTTTGCTTGAAAACATGATGCACTGGTTCCGTTTTAATAAACTGCGGTTCTAACGCTGTATTTTGACGTGCTGCCATTTTCGAAGAAGCCACTGTAATTACTGCAGAAAACTTTGCATTTATTTCTTCTTCGAAAAGTCTATCTTGAACACGGCCTTTCTCGAACCCTATTATGAATCGATCACGCATTAACATTTCCAACATTTCTTTATTAAAACGACAGTTTGCCGCTAAACTTCGCACTCTTGCCGCCCACGGCGCGTTATTTAATTGGACTATATGAATTAGCAAACGTTTTGTCATGCTGGATTAATAAATTACGTGATAGTAGAAATGAAATTCGTGTAGATTTCTTTAATATTGAAATTTTTACAGATGTCCTCAAGAAAGTTCTGCAATGGGATTAGTACCCATCGTTTTTGGTCAGAATCTGACTTCTTCTAGAACTTTTATCAGTTTTGTTCGGCTTAAAATGATTTTCAGACAAAAAACCATAAATTAATTACTGTACCGAGAAGATAACACTGTGGTTACTATCATTATATGTTAACCGAATGGGAATTGTACAATATCTCAGGTTGAATACTCTTGCTCATACAATTTAGCTATGGTGTGAACCGTTGTCTCTTTGTATCTTCTAAATTTATTTATGTTCATTGCAATTCTGTTATGTTATGTTGAGAATGGGGTGTTAATACACTGCGACCTAAAATATCTATTGTGCCCCCTTCTATCGCCACTGCACTAAGGAAATGTCTCAATGTCTATAACGACCCTTCCAATCCTATTTTCTCAAGGAAGTGTAGGATTTGAAGTGGCTTCAAAGGTAAATCTCCCTCTTCTATTTGATATCCTCTAGATATAGTGCCCTTGGATTCTGGAGTGCTACACATTCAGTTAGGATGTGAATAGAGGTTTCGTCCTCCTCCTCACAGAATCTGCACTCACTATCCTCTACTACTCTCAGTTTACTTAGGTGTTCTTTTAGTCGGCAATGCCAGGTAAGGATCCCTGTTACAATACGTAGCCTGTTCTTGCTCAGGCAGATGCAGTCTTCCGATTTTTTGTTGGTTATATTCACCCAGAAGTATCTTGGCCTGTCTCAGTCCCAAGAGACTGTTCCATTTATCGGTTCTTCTACTGCCCAATTCTTTTTTAATCTCTCCTAATATTATGTTACTGCTGATACCGCAGAACGGCTCAGGTCATACAAAGGGTGTTTGTGCCCCTTTCCTTGCAAGACTATCTGCAATCTCGTTACCCTGTACCCCGTTATGTCCCGGGACCCAAGTGAGAGTAACTCTATTTTTCTGGCCTAGCTCATTCAATTGTTCTAGACATCTCCAGACCATTTTTGAGCTGATTACGTAAGAGCTCAGCGCTTTTCAATTAGAAAGCCGTATCATTCTGACTCCACGCAGACCATCAGCAGATGGATGAAGTCCATTTTGATTAATAGCGTCATTGATATGGAGAAATTTACCTTTTATAGCACATGATATGTCTCTAAATCCTCACCTGCTAAAAAATTGTTCAGTTATGATAATAAAATCATTTAACTTGTAATCAGTGAAATATAAATAAAATATTCTATCGTAATTGTTGTTCTAACATGCTTTAAACAGCGACAAGATCTTATTTACGAGACTGGGCAGAAATATAATTATAAGATCAAACGAATTTATCTGAAGTTCGATCTTAATTATATGATGCTTTGTCGAAGTAAATAAGTCGCAGACCCACCCAGTATTTCTACAGTCCATTTAAAGTATGCACAAAGTATGCTATGAAATAACTATAGCAGATTATTGGGAAGGGAATGTAGAGAGTGGTTCCAGCTTTCAACCCGTTTCAACTGTGTGGTCGTATCCAAGTATATACAGGGGTAGGAAAAGATCCTATTTACTTCGTTATACAGGGTGAGTCGGGAGGAGCACACCAAACTCTAGGAGTATATTATACACGTGAAAATAATGTAAAAAAACTCATATGTTCTTATTCGATTTTCATCTGTTTTCAAGTTATGGCGTAATTAAAAATGTTCATCTAGCTTTTCACTTCTGAATTTTAACATTATCAAAGTATGCCATATGTTCAAGGTTCAAGGTTATTTAATTGGCCCTTTCATTTTGGAGAATCGTCTCACAGGAGACAACTACCTCAATTTTTTACAAAATGAATTACAAGACCTGCTAGAGGATGTTCCTGTAAATATTAGAATGCAGATGTACTATCAACACGATAGAGCTCCTGCACATGTTACTCGTCAGGTCAAGCAACATTTGGACGAACGTTTTTCAGGGCGTTGAATTGGTCGTGGAGGTCCTAATAATTGGCCTACAAGATCTCCAGACCTCACACCATTAGATTTTTGTTTATGGGGCTGGATGAAAAATGAAATCTACAAAATAAAAGGACACACGGGATGCACTAATTGGACGAATTGAGAATACTGCAGCCCATATTAAAGAAGAAAGAAATGAATCAATTAGGAGAGCAACAAACGCTCTTCGTAGACGAAGCAGAAAATGTTTAGAAGTCAATGGCGGCATTTTTGAACATTTATTGAAAGAACGCTATGATTAAGAGAATTTTTATGTGTAAATTTGTTTATTTGTTAATATGCTATAACTTGAAAACAAATGAAAATCGAATAAGAACATATGAGTTTTTTTACATTATTTTCACGTGTATAATATCCTCCTAGAGTTTGGTGCGAACTTCACTTCAGGTAAGTTCGTTTGATCTTATAATTAAAATACAAGTTCCATAAGGCAACACATTCCCGCACGAATTTGAAATGAAACCGAGAATAGTGTGTTTTATATTATTTTCTTTGATTTTGGATTTTGTTTAGTTTTTTTAATATTTTTTGTGGTCGCTAGTTAGGTTTTTTCGCAAAATAAGTCAGCTGGTAACAGTTACTAACCAATTGTCAGGTGGAATTTATTTTCTCGATTTTGGTGCAAGAATGTCATATTCTCGCACGTAAAACCATTGAAGAATGAAGCTTATCCTTAAAAGATTTTTGGTGACATTTTTTGTGACATTTCAGTTGACATTCAGTAATAACTGCCAGTGAAAAGGGCTCGTAAATCTAAGGGGGTTGCGGCACAGCCTTCCATCTTGGATCATATTTTTATTTGAAATAGTAGTCCCAAGCCTGCCAATTTATAGAAAATGTATAGCGATTTTTTTTAAATAATATTTTTATTGTGTTCGACATAAAATATTTAAATTTAGTCCATTATTTATGATTTCACATATTGTAAATAGACTACATCGTATGTTGCAACCCTTTAGACATATCAAGACTTATCACCGCGTTTCATTTGTTTGGGATGCCTAATTAATTCCACATGACAGTTGGTTAGTAACTAACTAATAGTGTTACCAACTGACATATTTTGCGAAAAAATCCTCAGTTAACAACAACCACAAAAAAATTAAAAAAAAACACGGTAAATAAAGTCCAAAATCGAGAAAATAGTATAAAACACACGTTGCAGAAGGCTATTCTCGCACTTATTCGTTCGTCCACTCGCTCCTTTGTCGCTCGTAGCTAAATTTCGAATTCGAGCCGGAATATGTGGCCTTCTGCAACTTGTATTTTAATATATATTATACTGGCAAAGTAGTGAATTTCAAATAAAATGTTACAAAATATATCACCAAAAATCTTTTAAGAACGAACTTCATTCTTCAACGGTTTGCGTGCGAGAATATGACATTCTTATACCAAAATCGAGAATAGTATATTAAAGTTCAAGTTGCAAAAGGCCACATATTTCCGCACGAATTCGAAATTTGGCCACGAGTGACGAAGGAGTGAGTGGACGAACGAATGAGTGCGAGAATAGCTTTCTGCAACCTGTGTTTTATACTATTTTTTCGATTTTGGGGAATTTATTCACCGGTTTTTGTTTTTGTGGTCGTTGTTAGTTGGCTTTTTTCACATAATATGTTAGTTGGTAACACTTAAGGCCGATTCTCACTAGCCGCTCAAGTCACACTACGCTCACGATCTGCTCACAGTCAAGGATGTGAGGTAGTATTCACATGTTACCCTCAACTGGCGCTCATTTCGAAACGAAGTGTCTACTAATACGTTTTCCGTAAAGTATTTCAATCAAAAATATTAAATGCTGTAAACGTATTCAGAAAAGATAACATATATTAATATTAGAAAATTATTTATTTTAAGTGATACTCAATAAGTATACTCATGTGAAATTATTTTGAAAGCTATTAAAATTATAAGACTATTTCCATAAAAAAATTTACTTCAGCACCCTGAATCTTTTTAATATCAAGAATTGAACTAAGGTAAATAATGGTGTTATATCGTAATTTTTTGTACAAAAAAAAATCATATTTGCTTCGTATCCCATTATCAACGGACCACCCTCTATGTCGTATATTTTGTGACTAAGTAAATAGCTTGGATCTGCCCTTCTATTGGCCCGACAAAATCAGTAGTGACAGACCTAATTAAAGAATATTTTCTTATGAAATTCAAGGAAAGATGGGATGAAACAAGAAACGGCAGAGTTGCCAGGGAGCTTTTAAGTTATCCTGACAACACTACAGCAAACAAATACTTGACTGTGACTAGACACAATTTGCGCCTGGTCACAGGCATTCTGACTGGTCATTGCCAAGTACGGAAGCATCTCCGTATCATGGGGCTGTCAGAATCCGCACTCTGCAGGGGGTGCGAACAAGAAGAAGAGACCATCGAGGATATTATCTGGGATTGCTCGACGCTCTCATTTATTAGAAAATTTGTGTTCGGCGATTATCGGCTAACACCGGCCGATATAAAAGAAACAGCTCTTGGCAACGTTGTCAACTACATTAAATGTGTAGGCTGGCTCACGAGCTAATAAGTGCCTATCATATTAGGAGGATGCACAATGAGCCTAGTGAGGCCTAAGTGTATAAGTACCCACCCCACACACGTTACAGATACAGATAAGTAAATAACTTACCTCCACACATAACAAATATAAGTACTATGGTAAAAATGCATGTACACGGTTTCGGGTCCCATCGTGTTTTATTAAAAGTTTTTATTACGTTTTGATATCGGTCCAGAGCAATGGTCAATAACAATAATGAACTGGCAGTTGTACTAAACACTTGACCGAATGGTATAAAAGAACATAAAAATTCGCCCAAGGTCTGAAAACAAAAAAGATAATTATTTATTTTAGGATGAAACTTTTAATTAGGTTCTTGATAATTAAAACATCTACGTACTCACAACCGATTTCAATAACGTTTATCAATTACTTATCAAACTGTTAATTCCCTCATCAATACGTTAAAATCAAAATTCCGTTGCAATAAATGTCGACAAATACATTTTTAATCGAATGAATCAAAAAAATGTCGTTTTTAGGACAGAAAACATACCTAATCGAAAATTTAAAATTTTTTATATACTTCAAATGAGGTGGTACAATAGCTATGTGTGTATTAAGAGCGAAAAGTGATACTTTTCTGAAAGCGACAACGAAATTTTCGCTCAAAATCACACATTATGACATTATGTTAAGAAACTGATATAAAAACTAAAAATTTGTCGTAAGTGGTGTAAGTACGTATTGCTTATATCTAAGTTAATCATGAAAAACGGAGTTGATATTCAAAGTCAATGTTAACTTGAATAATAAAACAATATAACATCAAACTATGTACAAATAACTTATTAAAAATAAATATTATTATATTATATCTCATTTAAATTAGGTGAGCAACAAAGCTGTTAAGTTTTCCGCTCGGCGAGCGACAAAGCTGTCACCTAATGTCATATCGCGGAAAACGTCAACTTTGCGGTTGTATTGTGATGCGTAAAAGGTTACTTTGGATAGTGATCGTAGAAAAAATATTTTTCCGACATGAAACGGAAGCTGCAACAGCATTTATACAACACCGACTACATGGGAATTTATAACACATTAATTACAATTTGTTGTATTGGGAGAAACATTTATTATACCTGTCGTTTTCGAATTATTACGTTTTGGGCCAGGTATTGTCTGAGGCTGCAACAGCACTTATACAACACCGACAAAATAACTATAGGGGAATGTATTGCACATTAATTACAATTCATTACAATAAGAGAAACATTTATTACACCTGCTGTTTCTGAAATATTAGGTTGTGGGCCAAGGGGACTCCAAGGTGTTTATCAAGAGTGAGATGGTGTCATAAATTGTATTTAATGTGTAATAAATTCCCTGCAGTTATTTTTGTAGTGGGGTATAAGTGCTGGTCTAGTTTTAGACGAAAATTGGCCCACAACCTAATATGTCAGAAAAGGCAAGTGTAATAAATGTTTCTTATATTGAAATAAATTGTAATTAATGTGTAATAAATTCCCCTGTAGTTATTGGGTTGGAGTTGTATAAGTGCTTTTGCAGCTTCAGGCGATACCTGGCCCACAACCTAATATGTCAGAAACGGCAAGTGTAATAAATGTTTCTCTTATTGAAATAAATTTTAATTAATGTGTAATAAATTCCCCTGTAGTTATTCGGTCGGTGTTGTATAATTGATGTTGCAGCTTCAGACGATACCTGTCTCACAACCTAATTATTCGAAAACGGCAGGTGTGATAAGTGTTTCGCCTATTGTAATAAATTTTAATTATTGTATAATACATTCTCACGTAGTTATTTTGTTGGTTTTGCAGCTTTCGTTTAATTTTTCCGACCCAAGCCACAAAAGTCAAGCCTGAAAAAAAGGCTAGAATTTTTTTTTATTTTCAGTTTAATTTTTTTATATTTATTTCTATTGTAAAGTAGGTAGTCGTTCATAATACACAGACCCATCAAATTTGAATAAAAGCATTTTTGTTTAAATTTTTTATTTTTTTATTTACATTAATATGTACATTATATTAGTTGTGATATAAACACTACAAAATATATTCCACACTCGCGTACTATGAGCCGGAAAATTTTCCGATGCCCAGCTACCAGAATACCTATTCTCTAACTCATGGGAGCACTCCCATACTCCCATGCTCCTATACTCCCATGCCAACGTTGCCAAGTCGACAGAATAACTTTGATCTACTATTTAAGAGCCGATTCCACCGTTGTGTTAAACGGAGATTAAAGTGACATTGTTAATGTAAAAATGTAATTTTAAACTTCGTTTAACACAACGGTGGAATATCGGTCCTAAATAGTTCAAATTTCCTTTGTGATAAATACGGACCTAAATCTGGCAAGCCCGCAATTCTCCCTCGCATGGTATAAAATCTGACCTTACTACGCATGTATCTGGGCTAAAACTGAGTAAGCACGATATACCCATCTAAGAGTAAGAGAGCAAAATATATGGGAGCACTCCCATGTGAGCGCTCCCATGACTTAGTGAATAGCTATCCAGGGCGCACGAGACGCCTAGCCCACAATACCAGTCCCTAATTCATAATTTGTGGTCGATAGAATGCCATCCCCTTATCATTCGATATTATATGGCAATTATTGGCTAGTTTGTGATCGGAAAATTGACTTTGTAGTTGGTTTTTGTGTGAGTTTACTAGTGTTTTGTCTTCCCTGGGAAACACTTAAAAAAACAGGGTTATCTTTGTGTGTATGTGTGCCATTTGTATAGTTTATGTCTGTAATTGCTGTTTTACGAGACTGCACACTGAAATCCATCGACAGGGAGAAAATCGCGGCTGGCCTCGATCTCCGCACCGGCAAGTGACGTCATCGTGACGTCTTCCATCGAACTAGCCTCAACAAATACTAGTCCTGTAAAATAACCAGTGTTACCAGATCTCCTGTTTTCACTCTTAATCTCCTGTCCTATTGTTTTCACTATGAAATCTACTGTTTTTAGCCTCAATGTCTATTTTTATGTTTTTTTCTCTACATTCCTACTGTTGACAGAAATTTCCATCTGGCAACACTGAAAATAACTATTAATGAGTTGTTCGCAGCGAGGAGGGTGTTGCTAAGTCTGTTATGTTAATTATTTCGTCTGTAGATGTATAATTTATCGTGCAAGCATCCATGCCTCCTGTCCCCGTCCTTTCCGCTCTGTTGATAGAAGATGTCTTCCTTCACGTAATGCAAAAGACAAGGTGTATAGAATTTCTCAGCGGTGGTTTCAATATACTCTTTAACAGTAGGCATGGATGTTTCGTGGTGCATGTCAAGAATTCTAGCGTAGCGATCGTACCCCAAAGCCAGCCGAAGACACTTGTTTTGACTTCTTTGTACTCTCTGAATGTGCCTATCTGCCATGGAGCAGAATACTGGAGATCAAAACGTTAATACGGGCCTGATTATTTGTTTATATAACAATAGTTTCTTGGCTCAAGTAACTCCGCTACGTCTATGAAGCATAGGATAGAGAATGCGTATCATAGCCGCAGCTTTGTTAGCTCGATCCTCAATATGTTTTCTGAACGTTAGCCCATTATCGATGATGACTCCAAGGTATTTGATGTGATAAGCCGTGGTAATTACTTTATTCTGCCCTTTTAGGTTTGTCATTATTTTGTTGGAAATCATTTTGGTTAGTAAAACGGCCTCAGTTTTCTGAGGGTTGATTTTTATTTTGTTTTTATCTAAAAACGGGACTAAAATTCTGTTGGTGTGGATCTCCAGTCTTCTCATGGCGATTTCTGTTGAGTTGGATGATTTGTAGACACAAGTGTGGTCAGCGTACAGCACGGTCTGTACACAATCATACAGGTGGGACGAGAGTACCGAACTCAGAGGTACTCCCGCTTTTGCAGAATATGGTCCGGTTGTTATATCGTTGATTTTAATGTGATATGTTCTGTTATCTAAGTAACTTTGAATTGTTTTCACAATGACGACGGGGTAGTCATTCACAAACATTTTGTAGATTAGACCGTCAGTGTATTGAAAACACCCGGTGAACTTGTAGATTATTGGGATAATTTAATAATGAATACTATATATTTAAAACTCGATAGCAGAAAAAAAAGTGGGATTCAAAAATAGCAAAGAGTAAAAAACTGAAAAAACTTACTTTCAACGATTTTGTGCGGTGTGCCCGATTAAAAGGCATTCATAACGATACTAAATTTGCTAAAATAGAATCACCAATTTTTACGAACTTTACATCCAAATCCTCAACTGCCAACACTAGCACAACTTGCTCTTTTTGCAAAGAAAACCATATAATACAAAGAGTCAAAAGGTAGATATGAGCAAGTAAAACAATTACTTTTTTGCATTAATTGTTTCCTTAATGCTATATAATCATGGCACTAAGGAATGTATAGTCAATAAATGTCGGAAATGTGGCAAAATTCACCATACCCTTTTATATTTCAATAAAAACCTTACATTCCAAACTAAGTCTGATCCTAACCCGGAAACAGATTCTATCAAAAACACTGAAACAATTATACAACCTGTTATTACTACTAGTACTACTACGCCTTGTTCCGTAAAAAACAAAAAATGTGTCCTAATATCTACTGCATTGATTCAGATGCACGATAATGACCAAAATATCCATGGGTGTAGAATTATGTAGAACTGAGGAACAATCGTCAAAATTAAACTTGAAAACAATGCCTCTGTCACTGCAAGTGTTAAGTAAATATTTCATCAAGAACCACTGCATTTAACGCATCTTTATCTTGTTTAGTTATTAACAAAATCACATCCTATCTTCCTTATATGACGTTTAAATAAACTACTCTAGAAATACAAAAAAAAACTTAACTCTAGCTGATCCAAGTTTTAATATCAGCTCTCAAATCGATCTACTAATAGGGGCAGACATCTTTTGGAACATACTGTGTGCCGGTCAAATTAAACTCACTGACAGTGCTTCTATACTACAAAAAAACCCTTTTCGAATAGATTATTTTTGGCCCAATATACTTGCATAAAAATCAACATACTGGTATTTGTTACCTTATTACAATACTTAAAATTCTTTAAAATCAATAGATAAAAAACTTGAAAAATTTTGGGATATAAACAAATTTTCCATTAAAAAACACTATTCACTTAATGAACTCTATGCTGAAGAAGATTTTACAAAAAATATTACTCAAGATGCTTCCGGTCGTTTTACTGTAAAAATACCTTTGAAGGAACCGACCACCAAACTTGGTGACTCCCGATAACTAGCTGAAAAAAGATACTATTTAGAAAATAAATTTTTCA